GGCTGTCTAGAAGAGAACGATTATCTCAGACTGTCGGAGTGCGTGAAGTCGCTCTGGTAGAAGTTAAAGGTGGCCTCTTTTGTTGTTTTTTTTGACCCGTGCACTGCTTCGCGTAGCTATCATCTGCAATGTGGGCTAAGTTAGCGGGCGCTGGTTTAGGGCGCTTATTTTCTCTCCTTCCGCGTGGGGGAAGGAGGTAAGTAGTGCCTCCTTGAACAGGGCCGCCTATATATTCCAGAAGATTGGCCAATGGCTCACAGCTGTTGTTGTGGGAAAGCATTCAATTTGGACTGCGACGCCTGCGTGATTACTTGTTGCTCTCCTCGTAGACTTTTAAGCCGAGGCGCAGTGTTGCATTACAAATAGTTAACGTGTTATGGGCATGCACACCGGACAGCCTAATCTGCCTTGGCCTGCCTATTAACGACGTTTAACTGTGTGTGGCCACCGTGCAGAGGACAGATTCATAAAGACGGAGGCTGTGAGCCTACTGTCGACGATGCAGGACCACAAATCTGTCCAAATGAACAAGCCCACAACGGGCACTAACGTATTTGACGTGGCCATATAGGCAAACTGCGAGTCCCCGGACCAGGGTATTGCCAAGGCATCAAGAAAAGGTAGAGGTAATTATTCCTGTGTATATCTTCTGTACTATACATGGGATTTGGTTTGTTTTCCAGTTGTCCGCACTGCCCACGCACACTCTGTCACCGTACGGGTCTATGCGATCGCCTGCATATCCCCGACAGGGGAATTCGACGGAATGTCTACATGGCAACCTCATTGTGCATACTCGACAACTCCACCACCATCACTACCACATCCCTATTAACCGGCGTCACCGCCACCAACTCAGTACCCTCTAACATATCTTTCCCACCCCGTCACCGCACATGCACATCAGACGTCGGTCAGGTCGGTCACTTACGCATGCAACGGACTGCGAATGGAAGACCAATGACAGATGTACCAAAATACACCCGTCGCCATCGCCTCAACTGCCCGCACGGCCCATGCACATTGGGCCACCGCAAGGACCTATCCGGTCATAGGGATCTTTATGTAACTCTGCCCTAAGCCACCACATACCAAACCGCATCATCGCGCATCTCCTCACCGGCCCGTGTATCAAACGGGCCCCCTCTCCACTTTAAACACCACAGGCACAAAATAGGCATCTCTCAACTAGGTGGGTAGCGTGATCCTTGGCTCTTTCTCACTGTGGCGTCTATGGCACTTCCACGCCTATCAAGACTGAGCCTTCCACCCTCTTTATGCGAAAACCTGGTTTTCTACGGAGGTTGATTCATGTGCAGCACGCGCAGACGAGTGGACGGGACCGACTCTGAGAATTCCATCCCCACATTGCTTTAGTGAATTCCTTACTACCCCAAGTCTGCCGCGCTTTAATTTCTCACGCTGCGCTAAACGTCATGGCTTGGAAGGTT